GAGCAACCATCTTCTATTTTTACAATGTTTTATGATACACAGTGGAATATGAACTAAAAGTATGGCTTCTAAGTATAGACTTACCAATCAGAAATCCCTTTCATGTCAAAAAATACATCTAAGTCACATGTCGCAGGGATAAAATTTAGGACAAAGTTCTATACACCTAAATATAGATCATGTGATTCTCAGACTCCTGCTTATCTGGGTAACGTACCACATATACCTATTACCCTGTACTGCTAACCTCCTCCCATCTTTAGTTTTCTCAGTATATCTTCTTCGACAATTTCTTTGCATCACGATTATTCCATTTCTTTGCATCATGACGATTACAGACAAGCTGAGATTCAGTGAACAGAAAGATAACTCTTCTGAAAGAGAAGAGCGTGTGAGAAGGGATCTACATTTACCTCACTGAGGCTTTCTTTTTATTCATTTAACCTTTGAGCATGGGGCTACCTAACCTGCAAGAGGCAGTTTTGAAATGCAACTGGAGCACAGCGCAACACAATTAGTTCAGTCAACTGAAGCTGCACCTTTAATGCCAGTTTGCTGCACTTTATGTCCAGTTTGGCTGATAGCACAAACCCTCACTGGAACACATATGTCACTATATGTGACTGTCCATACCTATGTCTGATCTCTGAATTAGGTTTTATTTCAACACTAGAAGAAAAAGCTAGGTAGTTTAGTGCTCTAGAAAGGAAATTCTCCTTTTCTCCTTTATCAGATCCTAGAGTTGCCTGCTCCCTTTAGAGTATTCTTCCCACTGGTAGGTTGTGATTTCAAGAAATAGACTCTTAAGATTTGGAGTCCAGGGTGTTCAGTAATTTCAGCTATTAATTAGCCTGTTTATTTGAACATATTCTACACTTAAATTGTTACAACAGCCTTTCTCTCCCACAATTTTGAATACTGATTCTTATGACGAGCCACTGGTGACTTACAGCTAACGGACTGAGGGTTTTGCTTTGTGTTGTAGCTGAAAGGAACTGTATCAAGAACAGATCTGAAGTGGGACCTCTTTAAAGGTCAGCTTCCCTCAGCAGCTAAACCAGAGACAATGGGGCAGTGCTATGAACCTTACACTAACCTATGTTGCTTACTCTGCATTGCTTCTTCTGAATGCACTATTAGGTCAGCAGAATTTCTTTCATTAGTACCTCTAAACGTGCATGTGCACACTTGCTTTAATTTAAATGCTCAAATAACTGAATTGGAAGAAGAACCATCACAAATTGAAGATTGGTTTAAAGTGAAAATTGAACCCATTTACTGCAGGCAGAACCTTGGACGGGAATTTTTAAATGTATCAGAGAATTAAATGCTCAAATTTCATTGCACGTCAGTATAGTTTGGGCACTGATCTTTCCAAAACTTTTCTGGGCACTGATCTTTCCAAAACTTTTCTAAAATTCCAAACTATAATGAAATTGATTTAGTTAAAATTAAATTACCAATTAGCAAAACATCCTTAGAACATTGTGTACTTGTTCCTCATTAAATAAGCTATGCCCATCAATTTAAGGGATACCTAAGGTCCCAACAGTAGTAACTTGTACAAAAATTGTTTACACATCCATTGACTCATGAAAAAATGAGTCCCAAAAAACCCCAATTTTTCCATTTTACACACTTGTAATAGCACGTCAGCTGGGCTAAGAGACTTTACCCAGTGAAAGAATTTCTCTTTCTCTCTCCTCTTTAGGATGAGATTATCAATGCTATTCTGAAATGCTTGGACTAGCCTTATCACTGTATTGTGTCCACACACCTAATAATGAAGATGAACCATTCCTATTTTCACTGTACCTGTAAGCAAGATATTTCCTTTAACATAAGCATTTAAAGCTGCAAAATTGCTGTAATACTATGCAGTATTTAAAATCAATTTAGAGAAGCCAGAATATATAAACACTAAATATATCCAACAGAATAACCATAGTAGCTGCCTTTCAATTTCCATGGAAACACCACTTAGACCACAAAATAGAAATCCTAGACAAATGTTAATCTCTTAAACCTATATACATTTACACTTTGAAAATGCAGTGATGCAGTCTAGAAAACAAAAACAAAACACCCTGCTGGCCCTCCTCATGCACAAAACTTTTCATGCAGTCATGCCACAAAGCACCTCTCAAAGCAGGGGTTCTAACGGCAGTATCTTAAAAAAAGCAACACACCATGGTAGTGATGAAAATAACTTGGAAACTGACTTCTTTCCATGCAATGTTTTTAAAAGATTAAAAATATACCAAAGTTAACAACAAAATGCCATATGCCAGCAAAACAGCTGTGGCTTGGGATAGCATGCAGAAAGGAGGTCTGCATAGCTGCATCATGTAAGAAAACAGCAGATGAGGAGAAAAAAAAAAGCTAGGGGGAAGCTGAGCTGGGGGAAGAGTATGAACTGCAGTCCTTGATCTCTTCAAGCTTATTCCCACCCAGAAGAGAGTTCCTGGCAAAAGCTGAGGCTTAAGAACGTATGTTCAGCCAGATAAAGCCTTAAAGAAATAATAAAGGACAAATCAGGTAGCAGCCAGAGTTATTGTTTCTCTTCTCCAACCAGGCATTAAAATCTATTCTATTACATGGATAACTTCTCAAAGCTCAGAAATACCCTCAACACAATACCAGATTAATCTGGCCTGACGAACTTGCATACTTTGAGACCTCTTCCAGAACCCAGCAAAACCCCCAAAATACACATGGCTGCTTCCTTTACAGTCTCTGTACACCTTGAGCGCTTGAGTTGCAGAAAACAGAAAGTAATTTCTTTTCAAACTAGAGATATCTTATATCTTATAAACCCCTAGCAAACGGCTAGGGCCTGCCCCAACAACATAAACGATTCCCTGAAATTATACTATAGGGAAGATGGAGGTTTAAACACATGCACAGACAAGAGGTTCCACCGAATATGCCTCACAAACCTAAGTGACCATCCTGGATTTCTGAAGGAATGCAATATGTAAAGTCATCTTTTTTGCTTCTTGTTACTCTTCTGTTAACACATGATTATTTCTCACTAAGAATATTTCAGTAATGCATCGTAAAGTTTCTTCTTGATTAATTTCGAGCCAATTAGTTTACTCTTAATTATCAGCACAAAGACAACAATTTAAATAATTCTTTAGTACAGACATCTGGCATCCATATTTCCATTTTTGACACATTTCTGATTAACTGGAGAATGTCATATGCAGCTGAGTTTCCAAAGCTAATTTAGACAGGAAAAAAAAAAAAAATCCCCTGGGTTAGAGTCTGATTGGGCACTAAATTAACATGTCTAAAGCCTCCCCACCAGGAAGCGTCATGCCCTGATCCTGCTCGGCTTAAGCTCTAAAAGCACAAGGTACCATAGCTGAAGGTAAAACTTAACAGAACAGGTGCTAAAATATACACAATATACACAACGTAGAAAAAAGCTACGTGGATTGAGAGACAAACAGATGAAACACAGATATGTTGAATTCAAGAATTTCAGATTACAGAGGACAAAGAACAGTTTGTTGACTTGCTAGCGGGCACGCAACGAACCAGCACTCCCAGTGACTTCAGTCACATTTCTCAATTTTCCTGCAGAAACATCCTGTTGCAATGACAGTCAAACACAAGTAGAGGAAAGGGGTGTCCGCATAGGAGAAATAGGCTTATACCCTTATGGTTAGAAATTAAGTCAATGTCAGACCACCACAAGAAAGGTGGTCTATGTTCACCTAGGAAACACAGAGGAAGACAAAAATAATCTCCAAACTGTTAGTAACCTTAGAATGTTGTTTTCTGTGAATAAATTACATCTTATGCCTCTCCACTTCCCCTCAACAAATGCTCAATCAATAAATCAGTCAATTACTTTCCATATAGGGTAGAGAAAAAAAATATTTTGAATTTTCAGTTCCAATTAATTTTGGAAAGATAATATAAATTGTTTTCCAATTTGTTCAATCACTTAGCACTGAAGTGCATCAAAGCGCAATTTTGTTCATTTTTGTCGTGACACAATGAGGCATGAGAACACAACGTCTTTATATGATGAAGTAATCCCAGATGAGCAATATTTCAGATTCTGTGATAAAAGTTAACTCTAAAATACACTCTGCCACTACAAAACTAGAATTGCAGAAAAGATAATTCTACCACAGATACACCATCTTTGTGAAACTTAAAATCATCAATTATACAGTTCAGATCGCATCAGTAACACAGAACTTTTGATTATTAAAAAATAGAAAAAGAAGAAAGGAAAAAAACAGATGGATAAACCTCAGTAACACTATAAAACACACCATTTTTGACTTTGTTAATAATTTTTACAATTTATTCAGCACTATTTTAAAAAGAAACCTGAGACATTGAGTGAACTGATTTGCAATCATATAGTCTTTAGAAGTCATCAAGTAAAGGACGCTCAAGAATGATAGCACCAGGAAGAGAATATGAAAACAATATATGCAGACCAAAATTCTCAATCGCAAATATTGTGGCAATGTACAACTGTGCTGCACAGCAGAAAGTGGCATGATTTTCAGAAGGGATGGTATTCATTTTAGGGGAAGCACCATTGGGCTATAGCTCAGTAGAATATTTAGCTGAGATGACCATTTGGGCAGATGAAGTTAGACATCTGGATCTTTATCAAGACAGACATAAACATCCTTTAAAGATTCAGATGTCTGACTTCATTAATCCAAAACAGGTACTTTAGTACCTGACCAAAACAGGTCATACAGCTTACCAGAAAATGAGGAATCAAAACCAAATAACCAATTTGTGCATTTAAAAATGAAAAGGAAAATTGTAAGTATAAACTCTAAAGTTCTAAATGAAAAATGAAATTATATTTTGCTACATACATATACATACACGCACACACATATATGTGTGTGTATACATATATGTGTGTGCGTGTATATACATACGTATACACACACACCCCTGTTAAACCCCGTCATAACGTGTTCCTAAACATACAGCAAGTTTTAAAAGATTACCTTGTAAAAATACCATCCACAACACCAATTCTCGACTCCTCCGCAGGAACGTAGGAACCAATCTGTGCCATGACTGTGATCAACGCAACTTGCTTTATATAGGAGCTCTTACCTCCCATGTTGGGTCCAGTTATTATCATGACCCTTTCACCATCTCCCTGGAAATATAAAACAGTGGTTAAATATACTGCCCTGACCTGCAGCACTTGCATAAGAAATTTTGGTGTGTATATACGACTTAGAAGGACAAAGGACATGTTCTCAGGATTACATATTCTGCTTCCAAGTGAACAGCTTGCTTCATTCTTGGAGGCCATTGCATTCATTTCTCAAGATATTTGGAAGTCTCAGACCCATAAATCTTCCTAAGACCTTTCCAGGTTGGTGAAAGAGAATCATCACAGTCGACATTAATTATTCTTGAGCAAAATGGGCAGGAAAAGGAGAAAGCTTCCCTTTCTCCATCAAGGAGCCAATACAGCACTTCAAGAACTTTCTGTGCAGTTTCCTTTGGCAGAAGGGATAAATTCAGAATAGCCCATGCTGTTCATAATTCAGTTTTGATCTGGATTCCTCTCTGGTTAGAGTTCTCATTGATAAATAGGGAATTTGGTAGATCTGGTAGACAAAGACCTGACCTAGATTTTACATCCATTCCTTTTTTTTGTTTTGTTTTGTTTGCCTTAGTATAACACAACCCAATCCAAACAAACCAGGTGCTACCAGAAATCAAGACATTGCAGTTCAATACTTGACTGCAGCATGGATATTGTGAACACGCTGTATCTGATCTCTGATTGATCACTGCATCTAATAACTGAAATCCTATGAAAAATGAAATCAAATGTAAAAGCTCATCTCAGCCCTAAGAATCCCCAGAGTACTGAAAAGTGTCTAGGGCTCCAGAATAAAACCTTCTTCCTCTGGTGCAAGACAACTGCTAATAAAACATTAAAACTCACCTATGAGGAAATAAAGTTCTCAGGGCCTGAATCAAGGTTAGGAAATGAAGTTACAGAAGGATAATCAAACTTCAGACAATTAAGACTTTTCCTTTCTACCGTGTACACATACAACAAAATCCAATAAATTATAAACTAATCAAAAGGCAACACATTCCACTGCCCCACAGGAGGAGCACAGAAAAAAGGACAAGGTGTGCATAACAAACATTAGCCACATTACTTAGGAAACTTGGAAGGGATCAGGCACTACCACAACAAGAACAATATAAGAATCTCTACAGAATAAACCTCATGATCTTTACAGATTTGCTTTTCTATTGCACTTCCGTTCTGTTAACAGGGAGGCAAAAAATATTAACCTATGGTTGTCAATTTTAGATCACAATTCAGACCATACAGAATATACATGTAATAGGTATTTATATTATGCAAACAGCTGCTTAGCTTTTGTTAAGGGAACCCTATCCCTAAGAAACTCACCATGTAGTCAAAACGCAAGCAATGCCATTATCAGGAAGAAAGGATGGATGTTATGAAATGCATATTGCTGCAGGGAGAAGAGAATTCGTAACATTCCAGTCTTCAGGATACGGTTTCAAAACTGCTACTAAGATTTTGTCAGGGCCAACATTTGGCTCAACATAACAGAATTATAGATACTTAAAACTAGAACGAGTTCATCTGCTAAAATCCACAGAACAGACTTTGCTTGCATGCAGGCAGCCCAAGGATTTGTGAGGCTCAACCCACAAGTTTCTTGCATGTGTTTGGTATTCCTCCAGGGTCCCTCCAAGCACGTTCTGTGACTGGTGGTGGGTTTGCTAAACCAGCTTTCAGAAAGAACATAAGCTGCAGCATCACATCAGAAAACCCATCTGCCCTTACAATTACATGAAACCGTAAGCTAACATCTTACTGGAATTTTTGGTTAAAATTACAAGTAGTAAAAGAATCCATGGATATTTTTTGGCGTGGAAGGAAAGAACAAGATGTTTATGTCAGGGCGCTGTAAGAAAGCTCTTCCTGAAGTTAGATATTTTACAACATTTCAGCTGAAAACATGATAGGAGATGCACTTCCCTGCTGATCCAAACACTTCAGTTTAAAACTAGAGGCATTCTAACAAACTGGATTCCCACCTACCTCTCACAGAAAAGACAGAACTCAAACCAACAGTAGGAGTGAAGTCAATTTTACCAAGATGATTACTTGATTCAGTAATATTCAAGATGGGGAAATCTAACATTAGAATGTGGCTAACAGGGGAAAGTGCATGATGATTACTGAATGAAATGCTAGATTTTGTGTAAATGCCATCTGTTGCTTGTTCTGACTTGATGAGTAATTTTTAAAATGTTTACTTTTTACTGAAGTATTGCACAATTATCTATACCATCATTCAGCATTTAAAAATATTTCAAGATAAATATACACAAACTTGAATGGGGTTTATCACAGCAATATTCCATACTGATGTCTGCTACCTCTTCTAAGTTCATACAGTAGTACAAAAAGGCAGCTAGCATTCAGAAGTAAGCTGCAAGCACATTTTCACATTAATGAAGAACAGAAATCTAATTTTTCAAAAAAAAAAAAAAGGTATCCAGATGAATATTTAATGAAAAAAATCTCAAGATGACAGTAACTTAAAAGAGAGCTTTTCAAGAAAAAAGGAAACAAATTAGAATATGCTCATCAGAAACAGATATACGAAATAAAATAAGGCAACGTTTTCTACCCCCGGTAACTGCATATGAATAGCAATTTGAAGTAATTTAGGTCATAAAATTTAGGTAACACTGAATAGAAACTGTTAAAAAGGGGCCCCTCACTTTCTTTGATCTATCGACAACAGTACCAAGCAAGTTATAGTCTTCCTGCTTCTCAACTTTATGTTACTTAATCCTCTATGGCAGAAAACAATAGTCTGGGGACTTACGGCCTACAAGTTACACATTAGGAAGCTTTATCATACAATAATATAAAAGGCTTCTTACAACTAATGTGCAGTCTACAGAATACGCACATGATACTAGCTAATGAACAGTCAGAGAGCCAGAGCTACACTGTAAAATTAATAAGTGCCGTATGATTTTAATAATTCCAGAAAAAAATGGAAAACACATAGTAGAGAATTACCTACATCTGAGATACCTTAGAAGTAAATTGGAAAACTGCTCAGGTGACACAGAAACTGAAGTTTCTTGCTATTTCGTATATTATATATCTATGAAGAACCAACTAGGGAAAAACTCCACGAACTTGAGATTAAAATTACAGACAATTGTGCAGTCCCCCACAATGACTTTGTTAAAAAAAGATTGTACTCATTTACCTTTCATAAAACTACTGTTTTAAACTTATTTTCCTAATTTTGAGATCACTTTACTTTTCATTTGTTTATGACGTTAAGCCTGAAGAAGACTGCAGAATGTATCTGGCTACTAGATATCAGAAAAAGGACAAAATAGATGTGGTCATGTCTAACAACATCCTTCTGAAATGCAAGTAGGCAGTCAGTTGTACGATTAAATTATTTATTTTAATTTCCTGGCCCAGAAGCAAATCCTAGAGTCCTTCCCTTGAACGATTTTGAAGCTCAAATGATATCTCAGTACTTACTGAAAGGTTAGTGGTGTTTGGAACATACTGATCCTGTTCTCCCAGTAGTACATCAATCACAGGGTGCCTGCCATTTTTTATAATAATTTCTCTCTGATTATCTTGCACAATTGGTCTGCAGAAAGGAAGAGAGGTAAATTTCAATGTTTATTCTATCTGATTATTTTGAACTACTGCAATTAAAGCTTATGGGGTACGGTCTAAGATGCAAATTTTTGTGAAAAGTTACAAATGAAACAAAAATGAATTCCTCCAATAAATTTCCTCAGTTTCATTCAGTTATAAAAAGAATTAGAAGATTTGATAAAGAATTTTTAGAGTATTTCCATAATTTTTTCTTTACCTAGGGAATGTTTTCAGTCATTTATGTATATTCTAAAGAACTAGGAAGAACTAGAAAATAGGCAAGTAATTGCAAAAAAACTATCTTCTCTCTGCCACTGTACCAGCTCTTCAAAGTTCGACCGTTTGCAAGTACATTTAATAATTTCAACATTGATTCTTTGGATGAACTAGGCTAACCTGCCACTTCATCAAGTCCTGGCTGGAGCACGGGGAGTAAGAAAAACTGTCCAACTGTAGATATCACGACCAGTAACACATTAACCTATACAAATCAAAGACTACAGCATGACAGAAGCACAGTCCTCTTATGAACATTAGCAGCATTCATATCTGACAACAACTCCCAAACATGTTTAAGAGTCATTACAATAACTGTCAGCAGAAAGAGCTTACTATCTAAGCTGACACACTGAAATGACGGTATTGTTTAAGATATGCAAACTAGATCTATTCTACCTATTTTTCCTCATCCCCAAACCAGGTAAGAATAAAATAAATGCTGCTTCAAACATTTCCAGCTTTTATAGCTGCAAATCTATATTCAAGGATATTCAAAATAGAATATGTATGATTCAGTGCTACCTATCTCCTAAAAGCTCTTCACAGAGCACAAAATGGAAAACAGCATGTTCCATTAAGTCATGATTGTGGCTTTTTTGTTCTTTGCAATGTATTTTTTTCTTTTTCGATATAACTGAAATGTAACATTCACTGGGAGGCAAACGTGGTTTCATGTCTCAGCAACAGCATTTTCCAAGGCTAGAAATACAGGCACTCCACAATAAGAGCAGTAGCTTAGGAAAAGAAAGAATACTGGAATACAGCCACAGAATTTTTGGGCTGGAAATTAAGTAACACTTTGTGTAGGCTTTAGAGGGAAGACAAGATGTAGGGAATGTGGTTTTCCTTGGATAGAAGAATGATTGTATACTTAGAAAGGAAAATGGGAAAAAAAAAACGGCATATTAGGAACACATATAACCGAGGAAAGAGGTACAAGTTAAAAATGCCATGTTTTTTAGCATAAGGAGATTTCCAACAGTTGTATGGCTGAGGTGAAATCAATTAGGAGAGCGCCTTAGAGCTGGGGACAAAGCAAGGAAATTTCACTCCCTTTCTCAGTGGGTGGGTAACTTGTTTGGAGTTGTAACGTGATGGACCAAAAAGGGAGGAGCACATACCTAGCTGCACTTACCCCTCTCCACTTCATAAATGAGAGAGGAAGATGCCAGCTAAATGACCCATTTGCTAGTTTAAACTTCTGCCCTCATCTTTGAGCATCTTTTTTATTTTTTTTTTTTTTTAAATTGCTCAAGTCTCCTTCCCTATAATTGTGAGAGAGGATGTGGTTTCAGGATGCCAGGAGCCTGGCGGACTGCCTATTCTGCTTTCAGACAATAGAGCCAGCCAAAGCAGGGGCTCAGACACAGCCATTCAAAAGATCCTTCCTGCTCTGTGTTCACACAGCATGTGTCATGAAGTTTTTTTTAAAAAATTAGTAAGTTGCTGTGGAACGTCCTAACATGTCATTTAGTCATAAAATACCTTTTCAGCTGTGTTCCTTAAAGCTAAGGAATCCACAAGTCTGCAAAACAGCTGCACAAATCTCAGATGATGTATGAGGCTACCCATATCATCACCTTCATGGAACTACCTTTGCGGCTTAAGAACCTTGGCTTTGTACACTATCCATGTAAAGAATGAGCATCTCAAAGCAGAGGTCCCAAGACGGCCTGCGGAGGCTGTCAGAGGTGCTCACCTCTCCCCAGCAACTGTGTGGGGCACGTGGGTTCCTAACTTCACAATTCAGTTAAACGCCTCTGAGTAGGGTGGTATGAAACAATCCTCATCTAATCCAAAAAGGTTCAAGCTCAGAAATACTTAAATTAACTAACATGGAAGTCCAATCTTTCTTTCAGTAGCCCTCCAAACTTAATTATTGACATATTCCCTGAGGCTTAATACACCAAAGAACTGTAGTAATTCCTTCTGAAGTTTAACTGAGAAGTCTCCTCCCTGCCAATTTAAAAGCTCTAAGCCACTCTAATATTCAGTGAATTATTTAAACTCCCCATAATGAATTAATCAGATTTCAGTTTGTTTTCTTATCTGAGTATACAGAAATAAGCTAGCAATTACTTTCAAAGAGATCTTGACAGAGGCACACAAGGTCTGAAGGTCCAGAAGTGATCAATATTATCTGTAACGCAGTATAAAGCAAAGTGTATGTCAGTTGATTTCTCTTCTACCATATACACCTAATACATGATTTGCTGGATTTCCAAGGGTCTCAAATTTTACTAGTTTAGATGGTTATTCCTAAGTAATTGTCCAGTCAGTTGTGGCACAGCCCCACAATGAAAACTTTTTAGAAGTTAAATACAGCACTTCCAAAAAAGGCACATGGAATGGACAGAGGCGGGTGGCTGCAGACTGGAAGCTGACCCCTTCTACTGTAAGCCTCTGGCAACAGGAACTGCTGGCCTCTGGGACTGCACTCAGCAAGCTGCAGAGGCAGCTCAGTGGGTCACCGAGCTGCAGGATGGACAAACTCAGGAAGCAGCCCCAGGCTGACCTCCAGGCAGAGGGAGGCTGATCTGACCTGAACGCATCATCCTAGGTGAGATATCATCACTGCTCTGGAAGGTCACATTAATATTCACCTGTCTTCACTAGAAGTATGTCTTTGAAATATATCTAAGTTTCTAAGGTGTATGACATGTTAGAAAGACATCATAAATTCAAACCTTCTTAAGAAAAAAATAAGAGCACGGACATTATTTTCATCTAAATTCTAACAAATATTTACATACATGTGAGGCATCATCTATTAGACTCAAGTCAAACAACAGACAGACCAGAACAAGCTGTCCAATTTAAACTGTATTGTTTACAGATTCGGATTAAGCCTGCAAGTGTTGCTTTGCAAAACAGTTTAAGTTGAAACTGCTGTAAACAATCTTAATAATACATTTTATTGTACTACACACATTCAAATTAAATTTATTTTAAATACTCTATTTCCCTATAAAATCCTAAATAAAAATTAAAAATTGATTACCTGCAGTAGTCTCCTTGTTTAGCCACCTGGGCCAATGAGAACAGACAGTCAATAGTTGCTAGGTGACCAATCGCTTTAGACACAGGGTGATAATGTTCACTAAAATGACTATAGCAAAACAGAGAAAAACAACAGGAGAAGAAAAAAATTAATTTCGTATGAATACATATGTATTGTCAATAGATACCCTATACACATTTCTCACAGGGTTCTTACAGTCTTTAAATTTCTCTGAATTCAAATCTCCCAGCAGTGTATTAAATTTTAATATCAGGACACAATCTTAATCGAGACAGACTTCATGTTCCTGTTGTAACAGGGATTTTAAGCTTGAAAAAGCAGGCAAAATGAAATTATCTAGCTTGTATATAAAGGGTCTGCAGCTGATCCTTGCTGCCTAATCAGCTCTATAACATGCCACTGTCTATCACAGTGGCAACTGAATCCATCCCAACTGCCAATTTACTTCTACTATAAATTATAGTAAAAGTGCCTGAACACAGGAACTGTCTAGAATTTCAGTTAAATATGGTTATGTACAATAGAAAACTCAAGAATTCACTTTCAATTTATGGTATTGTTTCCCACAGCACAATAATGACGTTACCAAGAGAACATAGCTTTCAGCTGACTTCAGTCTCCTAGCCTGCATGAATTTCTTCTCCTCTCTCCTAGTCACAAAGTTACAACAGGGAAATATAAAACTACAAACTCTAAATTGGGAAACATAAGAGAAACAGAAGCCATATCAAAGTAGCAAAACTCAAAAAAAAAAAAAGTAGGGTGGTGAAGAAGTAAGCTCTCCCACATTTTCATTCCCAGCACTGAAAACCGCAAAGTAAATATGAGAAGTAGCAGATCGAGGTGAAGAAATGTTAACATAGATCTATTCAAACTTACATGACTAATTTAGTGACAAGAGTTATTCAATAAAACTATTTTTATAGTATTGCAAAGCCAACACTGCCACAGGAGAGTGAACTAGAATGTTTTTCTAGTTCCTACCAAATTAACAGAATCTTTAAGGTTCCTACTACAGGGTAAAATCTCAGCCTCAGTCATATCCATGTCACCGCATGCACTATGAGCTGGGCACCAATGAACGGAACAGGAACCTACAGCTCTGCTGGGGCCTTTACAGAACTGATAACAGTGCATGAGCCCCAAAGGATGGGCACGCTTGCACACGACAGCTAAGTTGCTTGCAGTCAGAGAGGTCCTATTCACATTACTGTCCCCTTCTGTCCTATTCACATTACTGTCCCACATTTCCAACCTCTCTGTCCTCAGCAACTGATGCTCCAGCAGTGGAGCCTGTTCACGGAGCGAAGTCAAATAAAATGTACTTGTGTTTTTGTAGGACCAGCTTAATTCCCACTCTGCTCACTCTCTGACTGCAGAGATATCAATGCCACCATGTGGGAGAGGTTGTGAGGGGAGCAGAACTGCTGATTTTGGCAGCAGTGAGTCTCTAGATCAACATAGATGTAAGAGCACCCAGAGACTCACCCCCTTAAAGCCATACGTATGTTCAGCCTGATCTCATCCTGCAACAGAGGTGGAACCCTGCAGGAAAACCATTATCCTCTGCCATCCATGAACCAATGTGAGAGCAGCCAACCCCCACCTTGGATGTCAGAGGGCCTAGGCTGCAGCTTCTAGATTTCTGTCATATGAAGATTTTGGACTGCTGCACCAGAAAGCTTGACCACTCCTTTCTGAGGTACATGACACTCATTTTGTCTGCCCAGCATTCCATCCAGTAAACAGAGCAGACCCAATTTAACAAAAAAAGGTAGTATTTTTTGAGAAAGAAAACTGCAGATAAGATCATTAACATATGAGATATACAGTAATTAGAAGGTCAGGACAAAAACATTTATCTGCAGAAATTTAATGTGATGGTAGATCACAGAGGGTTACAGCAGAGCCATTTTGAAGATTCTTTGGCTAAAAGGTCAAATAATTTCTTCTGAAACTCTGACCTGCTACAAAAGTTCTCCCATGCCAGTTGTGAGAGAGAATACTACTTTGGTTACCTTCTAGCAAACAGATTTACAGGCACTAACAGGGTTAGCATATAAAATATAGGGCTATCAATAATCATATTTACCCAAGAGACTGCCTGAATATTTTCTTTTTATTTAATCTTTTTTTTAAACAATGGTACACTTAGCAGGGAAGCCATACTGTATATCAACTAATATAAAAAGTGAATTTCATTAGCTTGTATGTATAATGAATTCTCTTTTCTTCTCATTTACCTTGTATTTGAATACTACAGCAGCAAGATACAATATCATGCATTTATAGTCAGTCACATTTTCAGGTTCTTAGTGCTAGTTTTCAAATTTAAGAGAGGCACTTCATTTTTTTTAATACTGTATTTTCATTAGAATTCCAAAATCTTTTGGAGATATCCCTGCTGGCCTAAGTCTGAAAGGGTCTTACCTTCAAATACCTTAACTTCAAAGATAATATTCTAATTTACCAAATCTTTCAATTGAGTTGTCCACAACAAACCTAATTATCAACTTTAATAATCTTTCTTAAACAAATATATTTCTTTTTCTGTTCAAGTAGCAATAAAATAAATAATAAAACGAGGAAACCTGAATCTACTTTGTAAACTCACTCTAGAAAATTTAACCATTCAGCACTGCAGTCAAGGACTAGCTGCTCCCGAAGCTGATTCAGATGTCTGTAATTTTCTATAATAAAAGGAGAGTGGAAACGGCTGACAGCTTTTGTGCTGGAAGAGAGAGAAAAGCCAAGTAGGAAATCAAGGTTACTAAGCAATCAGTTATGCCATCTACATGAAAAATTAGACTAGTTTTCTTATTCTCTGTAAGCCTTGAAATGGATGTAAAAAAGGAATGTTCTTTTATTGTGGTACCACACTCTATTGATTCCAATATTCCATATTGTGAATAGAGTGCTTGGTCACTAAAGCACGGCCAATTCAGAAAGCTTTTAAAAAGCTTTTCGCAATGTAGCATATATCACTAAGTACATAGCTCACAAAACTTTCAGCAATACACTGCACAAACGGATGACCTTTTTTTCCTGACTCGGTGGCATATACAATAAACTCCAAGAAAAAATTTCCCAAAGGTGACTTTAAAGAGGAAAACTTACCTAGCCTGACATAAACTTAGTAAATACAGAGTATCTTGCATGGGTACTAGTTTCCGTTTGGGGCACTTGCTATTTTTACTAAGGGCTACTTTTGGCATTCCCAGACACTCTTCTACAAAACCCAGAATAGCTGTAATTTGCTCTTCACAGTCTTAGTTCTGGATAATTTATGTGGTTTTAGTATTAAACCTTTGTATAAGTCAACAGAACAGCATAAGTCAAGAGAATAACATTTCAGAGTTCACCTATTTCTGGGTAAGATAATATTAAGACGTCTCCTTGGTTCTCTAAGACCTAAGTAACGGTGATAGCTGTCTGTGGTCATGCATTATAACATTAAGGTATTGTTTAAATAATAAGAGATAGAGAAGAAAAAAGTCAATTACATAATTCAGTCCATCTGTTTCATTTACTGATAAAAGTATCCAAAGCTATCTAAAAATCGCGCTTACATAACACTAATCACAAAAGCAAGCAAAGCCTGGGCATATGAGAGTAAAATGACATCTTACAGACACTGAGTTTATTGGGATGCACAAACGCATCTTTGCACAGCTACCCTTACATTTCTGAACACATTAAGAACAACCTGGATGGCTTGTACCTACAAATTATAGGTGCAACTGAATCAAGATCAGTTTTGACACCAACACATATCCTTTGAAAGACCAACCAGGGAAAATTACATTAAGTATATATTGTGTTAAAAAAAATGTTTCAAGAACCCCAGTTGTTCTATTTGCTTTTAGATAAAACTTATGATGACAATAAATTAAGATGACAATTTTGTTCCATTGATTTTCAGTTTAAAAATAAAAAATACAGGGAGAAACTAGAATATATAAGGAATTAGCTTTAATACTAAAAGACATATTTTATTTTTGCTTATGTATTAGAATACGAAGACATTTTACCTGCTAACCATAACCCAGTTAGATGGCACAGAAGATATAAGGGAATTCTTGACTTCTATCAGAAACTACAATAAACAGAAACAGAGCATTATACATCACAGTTAATTAGGGAGACTACAGAAACATATTCTTCAGCTACGAAGAAGTCTGCATGTATCAGAGGAAAACCACATTCAACCAACCTGAAGAGACTGCGCAGGCCGCAAGCTGAAAAGGTTTTTTCTGCCAAAAGTGAGTTATGACATACCCTACATTTCTATTGAAAGAGCAGCTGCTTTCCTGAGCTGTTCTGTCCTGCTGTGCTGCTGCTGCCTCTTCTCTGACCTTCTGTTCCTCTGACCACTAACATGTTCTCCTCACCTCCCTCCTACCAAGCCAAAAACAGACCAAAGCTAGTAAGTCTTGCTTACCTGATCCTGACCTGGCTTTGAATAGAATCAGCACACAACTCATTTACACAGACTCTACACTATACGCCACGTGTACCGAGGCTACTCCTTATCAGTGAGACGTGCCTTGCCAGCTAGGGAACAGTGATTCATACTCGGCCATAGTTACCCATGACATTCCACAAGCAAGACCTCAAAACCTCAAATGCTAGCACTGTATCTCAAGTACATTACTTCTAATTTAGATCCACTGGGTGTCAGGAAGGGAAGGAACAGGGGAAAACACTAGTAATGGTAAGAGTCTTAGAACAGTGAAAATTATATAATGTGCTTATTGCAGTGCCTTACATGACTCTTATCAGTTACCTTTATAACTTTAGCCTAAGGTGTTACAACTTGAAAGAATTGAGGCATTCTCAGATAAAAGAATTCAGCTGCAAAATGAATTCTTAGCAGAAATTAGATTAACCCAGAACCGAATCACCTTTACAGCAAAACATCAGACTCTCATCTAACACAATTCTTCTATTACAGTCAGTACGATTTAGATAAAACCTTCCCCACATCAACAGCACTGCCAGTAATCACCTTCAGGTACAAACAAGGAAAGTCCCAACATAAGCACAAGACTCCACAAAGGACATAACACACTAGCTCACCTAAGAAGTCCTTAAAATACTTGATATAGTGGAAACCCTGAAATTGCATAATACATATTAAATAAAAAGGCTGAAAATAGGCAGAAGTAGAGATCTGCAAAGATTCGAAAATGAGAAGAACTCACTGCTTCCACCACTAGCATTGTTGCTGCTGCGTTGATATTACAGCTTTTTCTAAAGTTCTTCCCAAGACAATTATATGTGCTGTGTTGATAAAGGGGAAGAAAGCAAATCACACCATGTTTATGTCTATCCTGGATGCCTGACTGAACTTAAACCATCCTAAATTAACACATTCAGTTCAATTGTCCGCTTAGTCTGTACAACTAGTGAGAACAAGGAAGAGATTGTGATCTCCTTCAAGCCAATGAAAGCATTAGCTTTTTCATCTTTTAATTCTTAGCTCTATTACATAAATAATTGCCGCATTTAATGAACTTGAACCAAAGTACTGCTCATGCCATGCACAAAGCATGCATTTGCCAGGTATAGCAACTTCTCTCTAATCCCTGCCTGAAACAAATAGCAATGCTATCGCTAACTGGACAGGCTCTCTGTCCTGTTTAGTGCCTATAATGAATTCCATTAGAGGTCTGGAAACAAAAGATAAGATAGATATGGGTGTAACCTTGTATTTTGAAAAGAAGGTATGCGTCAACTGGAGCTTCATCAAAGCTCCAATAGAAACTTTATACCAAATGTAAGTTAACAACCTGCAGGCTGACTCTCAAAATCCAACCGTGTATTCATAATTATGAGCTTGGGGGCACACACTAAGCACCTAATAATTTAATCTTGGTTCTCTCCAAGAAGGCCTTTTCCTTAAATACATGTTCTGAGTGGGGAGATATATAGTAAAAGTTTCCCCGCAGTTTTTCTCCCTTCCAGAACTAACAGACCATATACCTGCTTCGGCACAAGTCTGTTCTTCAGAAGTGTTTGAATTCTACAACTACAAGAACTTGAGAAGAACATACTATACAGATCTGAAAGAGAGCTCAACTCAAAGAGCTTTTTGCTAAACCTACGCTCTGCTCTTCCCATACAATTCCCTTACCATCACTTTCATTCCCCTTTCATGCCTTTCCTTACCTCATTGCCCATCTTCTGCAACCCTTCCTCTACTGCCTCTTTTGAGGTCTCTGAAACACCCATACCAGATGTAATTATATAACAGCTATCCATAATCACTTCAGCATACACCAAGACAGATCTCTGACCACAATGATTTCTGAGCTGTCCACTACCACAAAGGCCCCCCTCTCTAAAAAAATCTCCACAGTGAATGATAGTTTCTAAATATTCTCCAGTCCAGTTCACATCTATCTGCCTGCCCCCACTCTTCTTCCTTTGAAGAAGCCTTTTCTTCTCCCTTCCTCCACAAAGGTGTCTTCATCCACCTCTCAAACCTTCTCCTCTAAAAGAAACCTTTCAACGCCTGGCTCTTCTCCTCCTTGCGTGATATTCTAATACATACTTCCATGCTTCCCCCTCAGACTTCAGCTTCCATGCGGACAAGTATACCCAACCCAGTAGCTCCATGTTTCCTCACGGCTCAACTTCATCATTAAAAGGACTATTCACCTGAGGTCTTTATCAAATGCTGCTATATCTAATTCCTCCACTACTGCATTGTCTCTCGCTTTGAGTATTGCCTTTCTGCCCCCTGCCATGTCTCTTTGGCCTTTCTCAGCCTTCTGGTTCGCCAACACGATAGGAGGCTACTATCGGCTCCTTACATCCCTTGTCATCACTCTTTCACCCCAAATTCTCATTTTATTTCCTCACTCCTCAGTCTCCATTTCTGTTCTCTAGCCTTTTTTACCCCCCACCAAGATTTCTTCCTCTCAGTTTCAAAATGACAATGCTGAACAACGTTACTGCATTGGGCCTTTCAACTCCCCCACAAACCTGTGTGAATCTGTTCTCTCTTTTTCTGCGCTGAACTTCTTGGCTCACTGGAGCACAGCCTGCCCACACTTGCATAGCATCTAGCATACAAAAGCTCCAGCCTGCAACCAGTGCTTTTAAGAATTAAAAGTAGTAAAACAACACTTATCATTCTTTAATACTGTTCTTCTCTCCCATCTTTCAAATTACAGTCTTAATCACTACTCAGGAAGTCATTCTACCATTCTTCAAATTAACCTAATGTTATGTTTCCTGAAGATTCACTGAAGATATTTCAGCACGAAATAGCCACATAATTAACCTTGCAAGCATACATGTATTTTTATAGATACAGAAAAGCAAAGCATTACTGAAGCAAACTCAATTACAATGTGTTTCTCCTCTTTAGATCACTAAAATAACCAAGTAAAACAAACAGAGTGATAGTCAGAATAATGTTATTCAAAGCTGTACAAGAGAATATTTTCAAATGACCTCATCAACTATCACAGCCTTTTTCCTAGCAAGCCTAAATCTTAAGCTAACTTCCAGGTAATGCAAGGATACAGTGGTACAAAAAGATACCATGTTACCTCTTGACCAGAAACTGTAACATAATCTGCAGAAGGATTCTTTATCTGTTTACGTATTTCCAGCAGATGTAATTGGATTTTAGAAAGCACATCCAAGATTTCCTCTTTCTTCTTCCTGATGACAGGGAAGTCTGTAAGGTCTTTGAACAGTTGGGTTTTATCTCCAGACCTATTCAGAGAAAATATAAGATAAAAGAAAAGAAAAGACATATTCCCTAATTCTACTGTGTTTTTATTCATTATTCTCACCTGTTTTGACACTAGCTTTAGCCCCTTCTAAATACAGCTTTTCTAGTATTTGATCGTGTGTACAGCACATTTACTGAAAGCTGCCATACACATTCAGTACATAGCAAGGCTACATAAGACACCCCCTCCTAAAGTCATTCAAGACTAATCCATATCTCTGTTCCTTCCTTTCTACTCTACCACATTACATTCCTTATTCTGTCCCAAACTCTGCCAAGTCTTTTCCATCTCATCTGAATTTGCATCCTTCAGCCTTCTGCCTGTTCTCCCTTGGCCCGGCAGGGCAAAGAAAGCCCAAGACAGACAGATTCTTTCTCTCTTGGTCTGTAACTCTGGAATGCAATTGCTGCCCCAACCCGGAGCATCCCAAGCACAGATAAAACCTTGATCACTGTTAAATGTGAAGCGCTAGATAATCTCTATACAACATGTGAACAGATTTTTCACAGATTTAGAATTTGGCCAAATTTGGGGCAGATTTTCATGAGGATGGTGGAGAAAAATCCCTCCCACAAGGCCTTTGTCAAAGCAGAATCTCATTGAGTTTCTCAGAGCAACTTCCTTCTTTTCTCAAAAAAAGATTAACAAGAATATTTTCAGTACATCAAAACAACGCTCTTTTCTAGTCTCAGAGAACGTCAGAGAATGACGGAATTGTTTTGGCTGTGCTATCTCAGCTCAGGATTGAAACCTGGAATAGAAAATGCCATTCAAATGTTTAAAATTGGGAAGTCGAAAAAGCTATTAAAAATAAGGTTGTCATCAAAAACAACAACAATTTAACTTATTTAAATAAGCATCAGGCAAACAATAAGAAGTAGAACCATCAGCTTTAAGTTAATTTAAAAATACATTTGCATTTTAGAGCAAGTACAAAAACGTACCAGTTAATTACATAATTACTATGAAATCTCTTATTTGGAGAGCAAGTAATTAGCAAACTGAAGGTCATAAAACATGGAGGTAATAAAGTCTTGTTTGGTGCCTAGCTCAACACCCCTTTGTCTAAGAGTGAAACTACAACTAGAACCAGTGACCAGACAGATAACATAGAGCTAAACTTTGATTTCTGATTATATGGGCATAATCATTATATAAGTGACAGTAAAGTCACCATTTTAGAATACAGTAATAATTTTTAGAAACGATTTTGTGCTAATTAGACCTGTTTCCATGGAAATGAGGGGGAAAAAAATAGCTAGTAGCCAGAAACTGATCGTGAAAACTCTGTCACTCCCATGTGATAACTGCCTATCAAAATCTAAAAGTTGACAGTAAAAAACAAAACAAAACACTAACCCCCTACAAAAACTCTGGAGCAGAGAGAGATTCTTGAAAAGCACTACAGATTTTTATGAATACACACCTATATCACAAAATAAAATTAACACATGATGCAGTGTGTATATATATGTGCATGTGTGCAAGTGTGTGTGCATATCTACATATGTATATGTCTACACACACACACATATATATGTGTGTGTGTGTGTGTGTGTATTTGTGCCATAGAATCATAAAATGGCCAAGGCTGGAACGGACCTCTGGAGATCATCTAGTACAACCGCCCTGCTCAAGCAGGTCAAACGGTCATCAGAATTATGCTAAAGAAAGGTTTTTCAGCACAAATAATATGCATCTCAAACTTGTGTGGCAATAAAGGCCAAAAGGTAGGTTATTCAAAGGCATCTCAAACAAAATCTTTGCATTCTGCAGATGAAAATATGTTCTATTTATACTATTATATCTTCTATTTAAAGCATATTCTAGTCACCATGAACACAACGGTAGAAAAAACATTTTTTAAACCTACCTACAGTAAATCTGGTATCATTAAGATAAAGTCTGTTTTGTCATAACCTGCCACAACTATCATTGGATATCATATATCAGTAGAAATCTTATAATCCCACCTGTCCAACAGGACAAAGCAAATATTTCTACTCTTTGAACTTCAAAATTAATAGACCTCACATCTGTCTCTGATTCAGGAACAAATAAAAGAAGTTCTAGACTTTACCTCTGAATTTTTCTATCTCAGCTGAAGAAAGATAACAAGATCTTACAAATAAAATAGAAGTTTGTTTTTAATCTGCTAGAAAAAAACCTAATCAATGACTTTGCTGCCTCAACATAAATATACATTAAACCTTACATTGCATCTTTCATCAAAGAACCTCCAAGTATACCACAGTAATTAAATCTCATATTACATGTACAGAAATGTTTAAAAAAGTTAAATGAAACTTGCTCACAGCAGGAAAGCTTAGGAGATCTGAATGTTAAGCTGTATGACGTTCATTTTGTGTTCAGAATGTCCTTTCCACATGTAATATAAACAAAACTACACCGAAAGGAGATCAAAAACCTGCAAAGACAAGTACTCAGAAAGGTTGGCTGTGCAAGTCAAACATGCTTCCCTTGGGCACAGCACATGAAGGAACCTTTTATAGATGATGTTATACTATTTCTTCTAAAAGACCATGACTTTTACTGGCCCCAAGATCCTCCTCTTAAATCCTGTCCCTCACAGGCTTTTATATATCCCTCCCTTACTGAACTCATGTTCTTGTTCTATTGTTCTGCATCTCTTCCCTCTTGCCTTATTCTTCCTAGGCTTAGAAGTAGGACCTAGGGATAACAATGGAGATAGCATCTCTTCAGAAGAAACAGTATGTAACAAACTACTTAAAGACTTTATGCCATATAATATACATTCATTCCAATCTAACATCTTCTTCCTTTCTATTTGCTTTTTTTCTCGGAATAAGAAAAGACAGAATTAAGATGACAAGGCATACAAGCTCCATACTTTTAGCTCTCCCCTTCATGTTCATAAGCACCCCCCTGCCTACAAGAAGATTGGGTATAGCGCACTGGACAAAATACTTGCCTCCATTGTTTAACTTAAAAAATTATATGCATAAACTGCAGAAAACAACAGCTTCTGTTTTAACTATAAGCAGTGGTACTTATATAAATACAAAACCAAAAATATAAAACTAATGTATTAAAACAAGATGTGTAATTTGTATAACATTGAGTACATCCAATTAGAAAGCTTACGAGGCATGGAAGATTCATTTATTTTCTCTACTTACTTCGCTGCTTCTTCATTAAGTATCTTTAAATAATGTTTTACTGGGGAGAGAAATTCTGGGATTTCCAACAGCGTGTTTTGTAAAAGGGGAGTTTTCACGTGAGAATGTATGACTGGAACAAGAGCTTGAATTTCCAGCTCCAGACGAGACAGGGTGCTGACTATCAAGAAGAACTCTTGGGTTGAACACTGTGAAGGGAGACAATGTCTAAATCATTATAATGTATTATATTTTCATTAAATCTTACTTTTTTTTTTAAAATCAGACAAAACACATTTAAAGCACACATACTGTAATACAACTAGACAATCTTATCACATTCAGAAGGTTAATAAGACATGCTAATTGTTTTAGCCATTGTACTTAGGAAATAGTTAAGGATAGATCTCAGTTATTCTTGTTGCTGGATGGATACATACATAGCAGACAAAATAAAGAGCAGAAAAATGGGCTAATAATGTGCGAACAGCGAGCAAGTAGGTTGAGCAATTTCATGAGTACAACTTGTCCACGAGGGCCTATGCATCTGTGTGCTCTTATGTGAAACTTCAGGCTGCAGTTTTGGCAAGAGAGAGTTTGGAAAGGCAAGGTTACAGACAAGGAGAGAGAGTTTTGGAACACCACCACAAGAAAGAAAAGTGAAAAAACCACAGAAAGAGGAATCCAGCAGTCACTGCTTAAAAGTGCTTGTTGCTATTGTCAACTTCAGTCTCTGGCTGGTTACACCCATGTCTATCGCATAAGATGGACCCTACCACAGGGATCCCAGTACCTCCATGCGATTGCACATTTCTGGATAAGGAATTGAGAATAAAGAACTCACTAACGCGGTCTTCATCTTTCATCTTCTCGTCTCTACGGAAGTATGAAAGAGATTCTCCTGTCTCCTTTATGCAGTTGGCCAGGGTATCACCAAATAGGAACCCCCAGAGCACTCCTCAGAGCCAAGTGAAATAACTCACAATGCTTTCATGGACTGCTTCCTGATGCCCACAGAGTAGTAAAAACAAATATGGATTCCTTTAAAGCAGCAACTTGTCAGAGAGAAACAACTTACGTACTCTTCTCTCTTCCTTTTTTCTTTTTCTTTTTTTTTTTTTAAACCATTAATATTACTTCTGATGCAGCTCAAGTATTTTGCTACCAGATTCTACTCCTCAGCGTCAGCAGAGGCTGTTACCTTTGGCTCATTTTCAAGAATTAGCCATCAGGATCAGGATTTTGCTAGTAGTTAAAAACCCTACAACAAAACAACTTACATTCTGCAACATTCCTACCTCTTCCTCTCCATCTTCCCGTTCAACATTTATTTACCTAAATTCCTCATGCCTCACCTGGAAATTGGATAATAGCAATTCTCTCTCTGACTTTGCTTTTACAGAAGTAAGTTTGTATTTGTACAAACAGCAACACTGTATTTGCATGTCAAATGAAAACCTAGCCCTCTGAGACACTTATGACTTCACACCCTGCTGACTTCAGCTGGACTCCAGGACATTTCCACTTCAGAAGGTTTGGAAAAAGTTGTCCATAAATAATTATGCCGATGTTTTTTCGTAGGTTACTGATCTGTAGAAACAGTTTGTGTTCAGTCCTCTGAATTTCTCTATTGACCAATTGACAACACTGAAAAAACAGTTTATTTTCCTCACCTGCTCCGAGGATGCAAGGAAGGGAGCAGGATATACTGAACACAAAGGTGCCTTTATTCTGCCCTCTCTGTAAGCCAAAGTTTGTTGCCTCTTTCTCTTCCCACATTTTTCTCTCTCCCTCCTAAGTGATATACAGTCTGGAACTTGATTTCTGGTCAGTATCTTGTGCTAATAATTATATCACTGATCACAGAACACGTAGGCTTCAGTGAACCAGGATTTCATAAAACATATCTAATATTTTATTTCATCATCCCCTCTCTTAATTTTCTCTCCAGAGGTAAATTTCTCTTTCCTCCCATGCCTTTATATAAAAATTAAGGTAATTCTCCCATCTATTGCATTGTAGCTAACTCCTCCTGAACAACTTCTCTTCCCACACATGGGAGCAAGCATTAGGGAAAATCTTGGAAATAAGCATTAACTCTCCCTCCCCAAATATGTTAATCCTGAGACGAATTTGCTCAGTAATACCTACTAGCCTTTCAGAACGTGAAGGCTGGCTAAACCCAACCTTCTGAAAAATCACAAAACACAGAATTCAAGTACACTCCGAAATCAAGTACACTCCAGTTACAGCCTTAACTCTCTTCTCATTAAATACACATCAATGC